TTCTTATGACAAAATATAAAATTATGCTGGTCAAAACTAGAGACATAAAAATTACTTGAGTCATGTAGAATTATATTTAGTATGTAAACCACTGATTTTCAACGTCTGCTGGACTCTAGATAGCAAAGACTTCCAGAGTTAAACCTTTGTGTTTTATTTTATAACCATTTAAGATTACAGAACAAAGATTCAACATGAAGAAAGTAGCATGTTTTAATCAGGCTATGCAATTCAGATTATTTATATGTGAAAAATAATAAATAAAAGGAAATTGATTGGAATTATTGACTATTATAGTTTTTAAAATGAGTTTTAAATGAAATTCATCTTAAAATCTATTATCTGTTATTTAAACTGGTTGCAACAAAATTTACAACAAAAATGTGAAAATATATGTTGGCTCTAAATTCTTTTCAAATGTCTCATTTGCCTTTAGGAAGAAAAAGTACAACTATATGACTTCTCTATCCTAATGGGGAGAGGATTCTGGGTACATACTTTCCAGATGGGCCTTAATGACTACTTGATGAATGACCCTTTATTTGCCGTGACTGTCAGTTGCCAATGGTGGATGCCATCAGGATGTCTTGGTCAGGTTCATTTATGTGCCTGTTTTGCTTTGGTCCATGAGCCTGGCTGACATTGAAACCAGGTGAGGTTTGAAGGTTTGAAACAGATGCTTTTGAGCCTGCTAATTTCTGAATTTGATAGCGCCATAAATCATATGCAAAAAAAATGCTATGTTAGACCACTATTGGTTTAGTTTTTTCTCTAACCTAATGTGGAAAAACTGAAACTGATGTTGAGAATACAGCTTCCAAGCTTTCACATAGCAATCCAGAAGGTTTATTATTTAACAAAAAAGGCAGTGTATTTTCTCTCCCCTATTAGGAATTCCTGACAGGTGGAGTAGCTTAGTAACAGAAAAGAACTGGGCAGAATAAAGAATTTCACATGGAGTTTACAATATTATGCTTCTCTCTAAATGAAATGCAGCATTCCAGATGTTGTCTACATTTCACTTAACACAAACTGCTAGGGTTTATGAAAAGTAAAAATTCCTGAAATGTAACAGGGAAGCTCTGCATCCCAATGCTGAGAAAACTCTTACAAGATTATCAAATTTTGAAAATGGGCTAATGAGCCACAAAGTCTGCTTAACATCAAAGGTGCAATATTCCAAAAATATTCTTTGCAGTTTAGAGAAGTATGACTTAGGTTTTGTCATTGATGACAGTCCCAGTGACTGTTGCAAAGATAAGGAGATTTCAGTAGTAAAAACAATTCACAATATCTCCTTAATTTATTTTCAGGAAGCAGGGCTAAGACCTGAAGATCACATTAAAAAGAAAAAAGAAAAGCAGTCCATACACATAGACCATTCACTTGCTAAAAAGTGAACTATTAAGTCTTCAAAACACAAAACATGACATTTTCAATTTCTTAATTTGATGCTTATTTATAAATAATAAGTCCAAGTTATGAACAGAAGTGAACACAGAGGAACATTTTTCTATACTTAATTGTAGAAAACAGAATAGTTAGAAGCATGTTTCATGGACAATATACTTAAGGGTGAGAAAAATGTTCACATAGTTCACCTTTGATTAAGATCAAAATGACCTAATTAGCATTTTCATCTAATTTATTGCTCAGAGTTCTCTTTTGTTACTTGTGCTTTTGATAAATTTCAAGGAAAGCTGTTGGGAGAAAAGTTGGAATTAGACACATAAAATAAAATAAGAAGTTGCCTTTAAGATAAAAAAATTATCTGAAAATTAAAATGACAAAATTGGAAAGTCATAAACTACATCTCTATTTTAATAAGATGTGACTTTTACAGAATAACCCAGGATCATTCTACATTTATCATATTTTGGAATAGGAGATAATTTACCAGTACAACTTTAAGTTAACACATAACTAGTGAAAAAAAGGACTTTTTTTTTTCTAATTGAATGATAACATGACCATATTGGTTACTTATTTTGTAGGGTCATTATAATACATATATTTATTGACAAACTTATTATTAAATGTATAAATATTTTTGTTTAATTTTTATTTTCTAATTTCAGATTATAAGAATTGATTTTGAAGAGAACATTCTCAAAACACACTTCACATTCTGGGTAACTTAGAATTTTGGTTCCACTTCTTTGCATGTGGCAGATACTCAGACCCATGGAAAATAAAACTGGAAACTTTGTACCTCATACAGACATTGTAACTATAAGAGTATGTTCACCAGATTAAAAACTGAGACAGAGGAATCATGCCACCTGATATCAAAATATACTGCAAGGCCATAGTAATCAAAAGAGTATGGTACTGGCATAAAAACAGACATAAAGAGTAATCAGACAGAATAGAGTCCAGAAATAAACCCACACCTTCATAGTTGATTAATATTTGACAGAGAAAGCAAAAATATACAATGGGATAAAGATAGTCTATTCAATAAATACAGTTGAGAAAACTGGACAGATGTGTGCAAAAAAATAATAAATGAAACTAGACCACCTTCTTATACCATGCGCAAGAATAAACTCGAAATGGGTTAACAACTTAGATTTAAGACTCAAAAGCATTAAATTTCTAAAAGAAAACATAGGCAGTAAAATCTCAGACATCTCTTGTAGCAATTTTTTTCTGATATACCAACTTAGTCAAGAGAAACCAAAGAAATAATAAACAAATGGGACTACATTAAATTAATAAACTTTTTCACAGCAAAGGAAACCATCAACAAAATGAAAAGACAACACACTAAATGGGAGAACACAGTTGCCAATGACACATCTAATAAGGAGTTACTATTCAAAATTTATTTAAAAACATATATATATATTAACACCAAAAAAATCCAATTAATATATGGGCAAATGACCTGAGTAGAGATTTATTCAAAGAGGACATACAGATGGCCAATAAAGAAGTGAAAAGGTGCTCAATGACACTAATCAGAAAAATGTAAATTAAAGCCACAATGAGATATCACTTCACACCTGTTGGAATGGCTATGATCAATAAGTCAACAAACAAGTATTGGAGAGGGTGTGGAGAAAAGAGAACCCTAGTGCACTGTTGGTGGGAATGCAGACTGGTGCAGCCACTATGGAAAGCAGTCTTCAGATACCTCCAAAAATTAAAAATGGAACTGTCTTATGACCCAGCAATTCCACTTCTGGGAATATATCCAGAAAAATCCAAATGTGAATTTGAAAGAATATATGCAGCCCTATGTTCATAGCAGCTCTATTTACCATAGCCAAGACTTAGAAGCAGCCCAAGTGTCCATCAGTAGATGAGTGGATTAAAAAGCTGTGGTACAGTTATACAATGGAATCCTACACAGCGGTTTAAAAAAAAAAAAAAGGAAGGCAATCTTACCCTTTCCAACAGCATGGATAAACCTGGAGAGCCGTATGCTAAGTGAAATAAGCCAATCAAAAAAAGACAAGTACCATATAATTTCTCTTATATGTGTAATCTAAAGAACAAAATGAACTAACAAGCAACATAGAGACAGACTCATAGATGGAGAGCAGGCTGAGAGTTGTAGGTGGGGAAATGGTTGGGGGTGGGGGTATTGAGCAAAAAAGAAAAATACGAGGAAAAAAACTCATGGACACAGATAACAGTGTGGTGATTGCCAGAGGGAGGCAGGTGCCTTGGGCGGTGGAGAAGGGCGTAGGTGGTAAATGGTGATGGACTGGGGCTTGGCTTAGTGTGGGGAGCACATAGTACAGTGTACAGTTAACGTGTTGTGGAATAGTGCACCTGAAACCTGAATAATTTTGTTAACCAGTGTCACTCCAATAAATTCAATAAAATGAGAAAAGTAGAAAAAAGATCATGAGAAAATGATGTGCCTACATTCATCAATAATTTTCTGCATCAACAGGCAAGGAAAAGACCAAAAGAACTTTTAATTCTCTACAAACCTTGAGAAGCTTATCTTGTGGTATACCTCTTCAGACCTAGTCCCTAGTGAAAGTCATTCAATTGTGAATATGTTTCTCCTAGTTCATCAATTTCAAGTGCACCTTCCTCCCCACTCCCACCCCTGCAAAATCCCTTCTATCCCCCTTTTACTACACAAAGTACATATTGCCCATATTGAATATTTCCTGTGCATGTTATGAAGACTAATTCTCTAGGTAGGAGTGATGATTAAAGTATGAAATCCTAAACATTTTAGGGTGCACCATCACCCTAGAATTAAGAATTAATTAATAAATAAAATTCAACATGGGGATTTTACAAATCAGAATGGGTTTCCACAGGAGAAAGTTCTGCTATGATGACTTACAAAAATAGTTGACTGGCTTCATTCAAATCATATTCATTGTTTTTGAATCCATATGAATTCGAAGATTCTGTCAGTTTTTCTGAGAAATGTTATAGATAATAATGCTATCTTACTGAGTGATTCAAAAGCTAAGCACTGACCAGCTGAGTGCAGAAACTGAATGCTACAGCTCAAACAGAACCTTGATTCCATATTTTTTAAGTTCTCAAAGAAAATTATGTGAAATAATGAAGTGTTGTTCTGCCAACACTCCGAAAAAAGAGAGTATTTCTCTGTCAACATAGGACAAGTTTGCTCTGTTTGAGTAATGTAAAAATACCTGGAGGTACCAATGAGACAGTTAAGAGAGGTTTTGAAAGCTATTATAAACATATCACATCTGGCCTAATTATATCTCCTAACAGCTCTGGCATTAGTGAACATTCCTAAGTGGCTAAGGCCTGTAGGTAATTTATATAATGCATAGGTTTTTAAAAGACTTCTTTTCCCCAGTAAATATATTTACTTCTCAGAGATAATTTTCAAATCATAAAAGCACACAATGCAAGCACCTATCAGGTAGCAGAGCAATCTATTTCAAAACAACCAATACTGGTTGAAAACTTCTTTCTGCATGTATAAATAATAGGTAACTATGTAGATTCAAATGTCGGGTAAGTGCCGCTGTTTTAGAGACTGAACTTACCGGTACTTGTAAGGAAGTTAACGTTTCTCATCACCCCTTCAGTGTAAGCGCCTGGCTCGTAACTGTCCATCTCACCCGTGACGATGTGAGCAACTCTCGCTGCGCGTCCTCTGATAGCGCCGGCAGCTCGGTCTAAATTATCAGCATCCTGGTCTCTCAAGGCTATGATACATTTGTTGACATCTTCTAGGATGTGGCTCTCTATAAGTAAAGTGATCGAATTAATTTTGTGAAAGTTTGTATTTAATCCCACAAATCTAGCATATTATAATTGACGTTACCTTCTGACTTCAGATGGGATGCATGTTGAGAATGGAGGCCTTGACAATTGGGGAGGGAAAATACAGACATAATTTTACTTATAGCTCTTTAACAGCAAAATTTGTGAGATGGAGATTCTTACCTTTTTATCAGCAATTTTTATAGATTATATATTATTTTAGACTCTAGTTCTAGTATTCTAAATTTTAGATTTGAATGATTTGTAGGCGGACACTGAGGGGTTTTTAGGTTAAAACAGAAATAAAATATGTAATAGAATGCTTAATTCTAATCAAAAGTAACACTGTATGGATTATCAAACTCTAAAAATATCACCTGTTCTATATATAGTAAAATAAAGCTATGGTGTTTCATTCAACTAATGTTTATTGACATACAATGAGACAATTATAAAATCTTATAAAGTAATAAATAATAAAATGTAAAGTATATAATTTTTATATTGTAAAGCAGCAGCCCCACTAAGTCTGAGAAAACACATGAAATTGGGCTCTAGAGACGTTGACTTGAGGCAAATGAATCCCTGAGGAAGTCACCCACTCTGAAGAGCATCTCCTGACCTCTCTCACTGCCTCTCTCTGCATGATTGGAGCATGAAGACAGCAGAGGTCTTAGTACAGCACTGTTTTCTTCTTCTATGAAATGATTAATAATCCCAGATAACACTCATGAGAGGAGCTGAGCAACTATGTGGAATATCACCAAGCATGGGCAAAAATGTAGCTAAGAAATCAAAAGAACATTACAAGAATTAGTGTTTGGCTTCTAGCATTATCAAATGAATCTCAACTCAAAATCCTTAACAGTTCTGTTATTTAAAAACATACCAGAAAACAACTACAACAAAAAGGCCTTACTAACTTCAGGACATATCGTTAACTTTCCCCACCCCCTGTCTCTGTATGTGTTGCCTACCTGTAAGCTACACAGGACAGGTATCCATAAACTGATTCATTTGTGGAGTCACACCTTCCTCTTAATGTGAAGAATATAAAATCCAAACTACCAAAGAATATGGTCACTACCAAAGAATAGTGGCTTTCTTTGACCTGACGCCTAGCATTCCTCTGTAGGCCTATTTTGCTTTAGTTACATTAATTTTATGATTTCCCAAATTCATCATTTTATCCATATCTCTGTTCCTGTGGCCTATTAGAAACTTGACCTGGGCTGCTCTATTGTTTTCTTGGATCCAGTTTCAACATGTATGTGTGTACAGGCTTCCCCACACAAAACAACAGTCCTTGGACACTAACTGGGTATCCTACAATTCAACTCAATTCTGACACTCTTTACCCACAGATAGCATCAGATTCCAGCAGTTAAGTGTTCTGTCCTCAAGACTTCCTTCCACCCTCTACCTCAGATACCAGTCCCAAGCCCAGGTTATTACCTATACTCTGACTGTCTAGCTATAAGTCAGAGTTTCCCATCACTCCCTCCTTGGGTTTGGTCAATTTATCAGAGCAGCTCACTACACTCAGAGAAACACTTTACTTACAAAATTTATCTTCCATAACTCAGGAACAGCTAGATGAAAAATGCATAGGGCAAGGTATAAAAATAGGGTACAGAGTTTCCGTGCCCTTTCTAGGCACAATACTAAAGATAAAAGTTATAGGATGAGTTTTCTACCAGAGGCAGTGAAGATACTAGACACATTTTGTACAGAGAAACATGAAGAGAGGAACCTCTGGTAAGGTTAGTTAAGGCCAGAGGTCATCGAAGTTGCCCATCTGGAATTAAATAAACTCAACTAGCAGTGCCTGATCACCACTGACTTTTGCTAAGGCTCTATACCTGGAAATATTGTATTGCCCTCTTCGGGAAGGTCCCTGCCCACCCCCCCTGCCCACCCCCCTCCCCCCGACAGAGAAAGGGTGAGGCATGGGTGTGAAATGAACCTCAAGGCCTGCAGGGGCAGAAACAGACATTGGGATGACAATGGCCAGCAATAAAGTGGTCAGACAGCAAAAAGGTTTTGCTCTGTAACCTGGGTTAGGAAGCACTGAGGATACTCATACCTCCGAGCTATCCAGTCTCTTTCTTTTTTACAAAGAAAGTTTGTCTCTCCAAAGATGATATGCAATGCAACCTCCATTCACAGTACCTCAAGTGACTGTTTTGGGGTACATACTTACCAACTGGCAGAAATGTGACTCTGAGTCCTTCAAGGAGAAGGGTTGGTAAATAATTGCCTTATAAAACCAGAGTCTGTACCTTTGAAATGCAAATTTCTGGAAAGTAAATCTTATCAAGAGAGAAAAACCTTAGCCATCTCAGCAAGTCAATTTAATTTAGTTCAGCTGTTCCTTTTCTAAATCAGTGAGTTTTGCTTTATAATACCTGTCTCATGAAAGTATATCTCTTATAGTATGTTTGCTAATCCAAAAGCCTATATTTCTAGAAGTTATGAAGTGAGTTTTCTAATCTAATGAATGCTAATTGCTTGCTTTTAAGCTGTCTGGTATAAAGTTGGACTTTTGTCCTTTTCAATCTGTTAAAGGGACAAGAATTTTCCTTTTGCTTTATATTTTGCCCTACATAATCTCTCTAGAATTTGGCAGTTCTTAATGAATGAGTTATAGCAATATGTTTGCTTGCATAAATCCAAGAACACCAGTTTCCAGTAATGGTTTTATTAGCCAAGTCTTTGACTGAAACGCCATGTCTGTGAGAGACATGCATGGACTCTGGACGTCACCAAAATGCCTTAAGGAATTAAAATTTGCTTTCACAGCTAATAAAAGCCCATTGCAGAAGTGGCCTGGTAGATTGCTTAGTCATATGTTTCACTGCAGTCTTCCCAAGTAAAGAAAAAAAGGTTGCTTTCCTGACAGATGGAAAAGAAGAAATCTCAAGACATTTTTGAGGACCTCAGCAACTTGGGAAATTTGCCCAAACCTGTAAGTATTGCTGGCAGTCTTATGGCAACTGTGTGACTTGGCTTCTTGGCCCTGAGGGGCTTAAGATTCTAGCAAAGCAGATTTTTAAAAAATAGCCTGTATAATCAATTAGTATTCTCATGTTTATGAAAATAATAAAGCCATTTTTATTAAAAAGACTAAATACAGACTCTTTAATAAAAACGAGGTAACTTTAGGGGGAGAAATTGTGTTTCAATAGAAATCACAGTGCCCAAATGTAAATATTATAATTTAGTGCAGGTAAAATAGGTGTCTGAATTTCTTAGTTTTCTTCAATCCTCCAAACTAATGTTTCATTTTATCTTCCCATCTTTGAACTAGGAATTATTGATAAACTTTTTTCTAAGGCTGTGTCTGAATACACCATATTGAATGTACCTCAACACCTGATGACATCACCAAAGATGTCCAAACCACAGACAAAAAGGATCTATCACATTATCACTTCTTGGCTTTCATTCCAGCAAAGGCCTTGCAACAGAATGTCTTCTCCACTGACAGTCTTGCAGACTCAGAAACTGGTTTATGATTTCCTGTGTTTATTAAACTTTGCGTATTTTTCCTTCTGTTTTGACCTTATTTACCCGATTGCTTGTTTACATAGTAAGGCCTTACTTTAGAAGCCCACCTACAACACTGCCTCAAAAAACAAGACTCCGTGGTTTGGCTGGATTGACTTGTTTTCAGGACTAGATGGTTGAGTCACTGAAGTATGACACAGTCCATCACTTCACTTAAAAGTTCTTTCCCTTTTCTGCCCAAATGGTTCAGACAGAAAAGGCCCAGAGTTCTTCAGGTAGAAATCTTAGAATGTTTCCTTTAGCCTAATTTAGACAAAGGATGGCAAACAGAAAGGCTCCAACAGGTAGGTGTGGCATGCCAGGGAATTCACACCTCCAACCTAATCTGGCACACTGTAAAGTTAGCCCCTCCCTCTATCACCGGTTTTTACCTCTCATTAGACCTTTAATTGCCATAATTCTCCTCATTTTTTGGACTATGCCTTTTTAACCTTCTTGTCAAATTTGTCACCTCTAGACTACAACAAGAATGCCAGCTGGTCTAGCGATGCCACCCTCTAGACATCACATATGCCTCCTCTTAAGGATAGTACCAGACTGACCTGGACTTTGCAAAACCTCTCTTTCCTGAATAAAGACTCCCCTTCCTTTTTTTGCTCCTTTCTTTCTCTCTTGGGCAGATAGGAAGAATATCTGGGTCTGGGGATAAGCAGGACTACACCCCCTTGACAGTAAGAAGAAGATGAGAACGTCATCAAATTTACCCTTGTAAGATTACAAGGTCCAGGATTTATTCAGGGAAAAAGTGTGTTGGCATAGATAGCTAAATATTAATAAAGGAAGAGAGCACAGGAAATTAGATGTTATTAAGCATAATCAACTGGGGAGCATAAGCCTGCTTAACCAGGAAGTTACAGCTTCACACACTCGAGGAGATCGTAGCATTGCTCAGTTAAGAAAATTAACAGCCCTCCCTCCCCAAAACAGGAAGCAAAGACTGGCTTTTCAATCCCTCTGGTCCACTTGCCCAGACCACGGGAGGTGGTAAGCACATATGCAATAGGGGCAAAGATGGTGACCATAAAGTCCTGTCTGTCTAGCCTGGGAAAAGGACCAGACTGAATGAGAAACAGAGGTTCCTGGATCATGTAGAAAAGGGAACTGTTAGGGGGAGGACTTAGAGCAAGCCCACAAAAGATTGGGAAGTTGATTGAATAATTTAAAAGAGGACCTGGTCTTTCACAAGCCCGAGATAATATAACCAGCTTAACAAAGATATTCTCTATCTCTTTCACTTACTAACACATGCTTACCACTCTTCTTTGCACTTTCTCTCTCCATAGCAGCTATGTAGCCCTAGCAGCCACACTTCCAGTAGCCACATGGACTTCAAGCAGTCTCCAAGCCAAGCCTGGGTGCTAGATACAGCAGTGCCAGCCAATCAGAGCACAACTGGGAACTGGACTAAGCT